GCTCCACATATCCTGACGCTGCCCTCCCACCCTGTCCCCCACTGAATAGGTGAATGTACAGCGAGAGGCAGAACATGGCAATGAAAACAAACTCACTCTAACCTTGGGCAACAACGTGGATGAGCCTCGCAAGTGCATTGTTGAGCAAAAGAAGCCAGACAACAAATGACGCTATCATTCCATTCACGTGGAGTTCAAGGAACAGGCAAAACTAACTACAGCATTTAGGGGTGCATGCTCAGGTGGTACAATGATAAAAGCAATTTATCCTCAAAGTGATATCAATGATCGGGAACCAGCAGTTAGCGTAATGGTTATGTCGCTGGACTCCCACGTAGTCAACCGGGGTTTGCCTCCCGGACCCGGTGGCTTAAAACTCACGCCGGGTGCGTGTGTGTGCGTGCTCAAGATCCCAAGAGGAGAATGGAGGAGAAGGGATTGCGGTGTGACCATCCCCCCTGGGGGGTGATTTCTTGCTTTCTGTCTCTATGTCTCTGTCTGTCTGGCCAGCGCACGCGCCCTATAGCAAAAATCTCTCCAAAAAAAAAAAGTGATATCAACGATCATAAATGGATGATCACAAAAGAGCCTGAAATGGCAATTACCCTGTAGGGGGCTTCTGCTTGACCATTCAGTAGCTCGCCTGGGTGATGCTGACCTGTGTTCACTTTGCAATCAGTTATTAATCTTTACATCTATGTCTTGTGTACTTTCCTTTATGTGTGCTACTTTTTTTTTTTTTTGAGAGTTTTTTGCTATAGGGTGCATGTGCTTACCAGAAAGAGATAGAGAGACAGAAAGCAAGAAATTGTCCCCTAGGGGGAATGGCCATGTTGCAATTCCATCTCCTCCATTCTCCTCTCGGGATCTTGGGCATGCACGCACATGCACCTGCTGTGAGTTTAAGCCACCAGGTCTGGGATTCAAACTGCAGTCGACTACATGGGAGTCCAGCGACATAGCCATTAAGCCAACTGCTGGTCCCATATGTGTAATACTTTAAAAAAAAATAGATGATAAATTTCTTGAGAGAGATGAGCACCAGCAGGGGGAAACCTCCCCTCCAAACTTCCCAGCCAGGCTCTCAGGCACTGGTGTCCACATGCCGTTTGTACCAGTTGACGCAGAACTGAATGCATCATGCCAACACTGCTGGGCCTTGTGTGCTCGTCTACAGTGCGTGTGCACTTGCTGGAGAGAGACAGAGGGAAAGTGAAAAAGCACCTCCTGGGAGGATGGTCATGTTGCAATCCCTTCTCCTCCATTCTCCTTCTGGGATTTTGGGCTTGCATGTACATGCACCTGGCATGAGCCCTCAAGCTGCCACATCCAAGAATGGAACCATGGCTGACTACGTGGGAGTCTAGCACTTTAACCACTACATCACCAGCTGGCCCTCGTAACTTTAAAAAGTGTGTTTTGGAGAAAGTGGGAGGGAAGAGGGGGAGGAACAACAAAAAAGTGGGTTTTGGGGACCAGCAGATGGCATAGTGGTTATGTCACTGGATTCCCACATGGCCGGCTGTGGTATGAGTCCTGGACCTGGTGACCTGAAAATCACACTGGGTGCATGTGTGTGCATGTCCAGGATCCCAGGAGGAGAATGGAGAAGGGATTGCAGCATGGCCACCCCCCCTCAGGGGGTGATTTCTCACTTTCCCTCTCACTGTTTCTCTCTCTTTCCAGCGAGTGCACACCGGCCTAATGCCAAACAAACAAACAAACAAAAAACAGAAAACAAAACCTCTCAAACAAAGGTGAGACTTGTAGGTCAGCAGGTGGTGTGGTGGTTAAGGTGCTGGATTCCCACACAGCCAATTGCAGTTCTAGTTCCAGATTCAGTGGCTTGGAAAATTGGAAAATCATGCCAACCACATGTGTGTGCAGGCCCACAATCTCTAGAGAAGAATGGAGGAGGAAGGCCTACGGCTCGGTCATCCTCTCAGGGGGTGGTCCTCACTTTCTCTCTCTCTGTTTCTCTCCTGTGAGTGCACAGACCCAATGGCAAAAACCTGAATAATAATAATATGGGGCTTGCTTTAAAGGTAGTGGTGGAAGGAGAGAGAAGAGATTAATTTTGACTACATGTGGAAAGTGAACAAAGGGAAATGAGGACTACATTGGGAAGAACAATTTTGGGAGACATATTAAAAGGTAAGAGAAAGTGTTTCAATTTTTTTTTTTTTAATTGTCAATGTGAGTTAATCAGGGACCACTTATAGGTAGAGAGGGTAACAGCCCCCAAAAGAAGTCACTGATTTTTTTTTTTTAAGAATTATTTTATTTAACGTTTATTTTTTATATATTTTTAATTTGACCAGAGAGGGACAGAGTGAGAAAGAAAGAAAGATAGAGAGAGAGGAAAAGTGAGAAAGCAAGCCACCAGGTCTGGGACTTGAACTGTAGTTGGCCAGGTGGGAGTCCAACGCCCTCAACCACCATGCCACCTGTTGGCCCCTGTGTTTTATTTTTTAGTGAAGTCTCTACATTTTTCCCTTTTTGGTCTGGTTAATGTACAAAATACATCCCTTTCACAGGTCTCTAAATAATTTGTGATGCGGGACCAGCAGATGGTGTAATGGTTATGTCACTGGACTCCCATGTTGTCAAGCACGGTTCAAGTCCTGGACCTGGCAGCTAAAAATTCATGCTGGGTGTGTGTGCATGTGTGCTCAAAGCCCCAGAGGAAGAATGGAGGAGAAGGGATTGCAGTGTGGTCATCACCCCTGTGTGTGTGTGGGGGGTGATTTCTCACTTTCTGTCTCTCTCTCCAGCAAGCACACACGCTCTATAGCAAAAATCTCTTAAAAAACAACAACAAAAAGAATTTAACTCTTGCTAAGAAACTAACTACAGTCCAGAGAACGTGGATAATGAAAGCCATTACCATTAAAGAAAACAGTCACCCTCCCCAAGGCCATCTTCAAGGACTAAAATTACTTCGAGTCCCAAGCATCATGGAACAAATTCCTGGACCTGTACTGATACCCCTTCACAGAAGGATAGTTTTCCTTCCTCGTCAGGGCCCCATATGACTAGGCTACTTCAGTCTCCCTTCAACAACCCATTCCAGACCCCTTCCACTGCACTGGAAGCTTTTTTCCTCTGATAAACAAATTTTGCTTATCATACTTTCCTGTTTGGCCAGATTTCTAATTCTTCATGAGCATCGGACAAGAATCAGCATGGGTATTGGCCCTGATCACCCCAACACTGCTGCTCTAAGAGGACACATGCGGGGCCAGCAGATGGTGTAGCGGTTATGTCTCTGGACTCTCACATGGCCAGCTGCGGTTTAAGTCTCAGATCCAGTGGCTTGAAACTCACACTGGGCTTACATGTGAGTGCATGCCTAAGAAAGGAGAATGGAGAAGGGATTGTGGTGTGGCCAGCTCCCCTGGGTGGGGGATTTCTCACTTTCCCTCTCACTGTCTTTGTCTCTCTCTCAGGTGAGGGCGCACGCTCTAAGACAAAAATCTGTTACCAAAAAAACCAAAGAGGGCACATAGACTAGCCAGAGAGAGGCAGAGACAGATAGGAGAGGGAGAAAGTGCTCGAATGGGGTGTGATCACACTACAATCCCTTCTCCTTCATTTCTCCATCTTGTCAGGATCTGGGCACACAAGCACACATGCCTGGCCTGTTCTGAGATTTGAACCAGTCAGCCATGTGGGGTCCAGCTCCCTTAACCACTAGGCAACAGGACCAGGCCCAAGAGCTATCTTGAGCGCTCAGGCTGGAGAAACCTGTGGATATTGAAATGGAAATGTCAAGAGCCATTGTGTGAACACTGACAAGTCAGTTCCCTTGAGAATCCCTTCTCCCCCAAAGAGAAGGCAGTGTGGGTTAATGGAACCAGTGTGTGTTAATGGGAACCCTGGGCTTTAAAATCTCCACTGTTGGACCAGCAGTTAGCGTAATGGCTATGTTGTTGGACTCCCATGTAGTTGACCGCGGTTCATGTCCCAGACCTAGTGGCTTAAACTCATGCCAGGTGCATGTGCATGCGTGCTCAAGATCCTGAGAAGAGAATGGAGAGGGGATTGCAGTGTGGCCATCCTCCCTGGGGGGTGATTTCTTGCTTTCTGTCTCTCTGTCTCTGTCTATCTGGTGAGCGCACACGCCCTATAGCAAAAACCTCTCAAAAAAAAAAAAAGTAAAATCTCCACTGTTGGAGCCAGCAGGTGGTGTGGTGCTTAAGGTCCTGGACTCTCATATGGTTGATGGGCATGAGTTTTAAACTTCTGGGTCCAGAACTCAAACTATGGTTGACTACTGGAAGTCCTTAGACGTAACCATTATGCCAACTGGTGGTCCCCATTCTCAGAAACTATTATGAGGCAGGCACGTTTATCACCTTCCACTGAGGGAACTAAAATTTTTTTTTAGAATTTTGCCATAGGGTGTGTGTGCTCACCAGAGAGCGCTCCAGCAGTTTAGTGAGAAATCATTGCCCAAGGAGGATGGCCACGCTGCAATCCTTTCTCCTCTTCCAACTTCGGGCACACATGCATATGCACTCCCTGTGTTTTTCAAGTTCCTGGATCAGGAACTCCAACCACCTACTCGGCCATGCGAGATTCAGCGCCTCCACCACGACGCCACCTGCTGGTTCCAAACTAAAGTTTAAAAAGAGACTCAACAACTCCTGAAGCCAGTCTAAGCGATGAAATCTCGTAAGAATGACAACCCTTGCTCTCTACCGTTCCTATCACTGCCTCTGCTTTTCTTGACCCACTCCCTGCGACTCCCTGCCAAGGAACATGTAGCCAGTACCATGGACATCAGAGAGGCTGTCCAGATGAGGCATTCGCAGCCTCTGGACACTGCAAGCCCGAGTCTAACAGCAGGTGGCCAGCTTGTCCTCTTTAGTTTATTTGGAGGCCAGAGCTGGGCGGAGCTACAATCCTGAGTAGCCAGCCAGCCCTTACTAAGAATCCTGCAGGGGCAGGACAAGGGACACCTAGCAACTGCTAGTCTGCTGCTAAGGTGACCTCTGTAGCCGGCCTGTAGTCTCGGTGGAGCTTTAACTGCAAGCCTCTCCCATGTGGCTTAGCATTCCCCAGCTTTGCCAAAAGCCATCTTTATATCCCCCACGGCTGTTTTGGGCTTTTTTCCTACTAAACCGCACCTACAAGTTGTACAAGCCCATTATGGGATCAGGGTCGATTTGCATGGAAGTTGGATATGGGGCAAGGCTGGAAAACGTTCTGGAAACCAGCAGGATAGAGGACGAAAGACCTCAAGACATTGACCGGAAGAGGCAGGGCAGCGAGGGGGCTAGGACCCAGGTTTCAGATACGTCGGCGCCTACGTCACTAGGACTCCGCCCCCGCGTCGGCCGCCGGACTGGAGCTCCCAGTCGGTTCCAAACAAGCCCGGCGCTCCGTAGTGCGCACGCTCAGTCCGGCCCTGCCGGCGTACCGCCCACCCAGGTCCTCTGGCTCCTGAGGGCGTGCTTGCGGGGAAAACTGAGGCGGGGGGCGTGCTTGAGTTCATTTCTTCCTCGGCCACACCACAGGGCCAGCAGAGCTGATCCCCTTCCTCAGAGCATGGAAGTGCAGGAAAGGACAGAAGGAAGGGAGGGGGCCCAAGGCAAGCAGGGTCTGAAGAACCAGCAGAGATCTGCCACACTCAAGATGGCGGCGCGGCCGCGGCGAGGTCCCTCAGAGGCGGTACCAGCGCATGCGCAGCGCGGAGTCCCGGCCCGGGACACAAGATGGCGGCAGCGGCGCTGGGGAGGGCGAGGCGGAGGCGGCAAAACGGGCGGTCGAGCAGAACGTATAGCCGCTTCCCCTCAAGTCCGCTCCGGGCAGGTAAGATCCCCAGGAAGCCATGGTCCCGTCGCGAGCCGCGCCAGGGGCCGGGGATC